ACATATATCATATAAATCTTACTTCTTTTTAAATTTATATATTTGTATTTATCAAATAGATTATAAAAATCAATATATATATCAAGATTTTTTAGTTGATCTCTAACTAATAATTCATTAAAATAATTATTGGATAAGTATGGTTTATTCTTTTTAATTTTGACTTTATTATATGTTTTGGTTTTTATTTTAACGTAAATAATTTTTTTTCTCTTTTTCTTTATATGTATTACATGAAATAGGTCGTAAGATTTTCTCATAACAATATTGATAATACATGTGTAAAAACTTTTTAGTTCAAATAGATTTAGATTTACATATCCAAATCGTCATAGATTGTAATATTTTGTCTTTATACAATAAACGTTTGTGCTTTCTTAATCTCTCAACCAAACAATTTTAAACTTTGATGATCTCTTCCACGAATTTTATTTCAACTTTTTCATTAGAAAATAACATCAATTATCCTCATATTCAATACGTTAGATAAATTACGACGATCTAATTGTAGTATTTTCATTCGGTTTTTGCAGATTACAAACTAAAGCTTTATGCATCATTCGCTTCTTACAAAATTTAGAAATCAATTCTGTGAAAAAAAATCTTATTAAAATTAGCAATTTTAGTTTGCAACTAAAATAATGAGATTTAATTCGTCAAAATTTAGAAAATGGATATATGAGTAGATACATAAAAAAACCTTATAAATTAGGAATAGAAAAAACTAATTATTTGGAAATATTTGACAAATTTAAATGAAAGTTATAATATAATAAAAAGAGTCAAAACATCATAATAACGATGAGACTTCTCTATTAGTGGTCATGCACTTTTCAGTTTTGTTATTTTTCACAGATTACAAAATATTTATAAAACTTAAAAATTCAAAAAGGAAAATGAGTAATTAATTCAATTTTTTTTTTAAAAAAATAGAGTAGTTAAGTAGTAAATAACTAAATTACTTCATATATGAATAGAAAATAAAACTAATTACATGATAAAATTTATGAATTACTTGGAAATAAGAAAAACAACCAAAATAAAAAATAACTCTTAAATTATTTTATATCAACAATTTTGGTTTTATTTTGTTTATTTTCATGGGTGATTTATTTATTTTGTTACTTTTTTGAATTTACTTTTTCCATGGATTATAAAATATTTTATTATGGTTTATAAAATATTCTAACCAAAACCCGCATATATGCAGGTCCTTTACCTAATTTCTTTATATTATACAATAAATTTGGTTACTTCGTGTATTATAATTTTTTTTGTGATATCTACGCTAATTTCTCTAGTACTAATGGTTAATTAAAAATCTAAGAATACACTAGAATTAGTATTAAAAATATGTATTGGCACTTGTCAGTTGTCATTGACATGTTAGTCGTAAGCAGACCGTTTAAGAGAAGTGGCAAGTGGTTCTATCGCACAGGATCTACGTGAATTTTTTTTAAAATTCTTTACGAAAAAAGATTCCTAATTAATTTTTTTTTTAATTTTTCTTGAAAAAGGTCTAAAATTTTTTTTTTATCTAAAGCCTTACAAAAATTTGAGATGATCCTGGTCGTAAGCCTAAAAAAATTAGCTCAACACTATAATATGTTAGTCCTAATCATAAAGAACTAGAGTCTGACACTCGCCTAATGGAAGAGAGTTCTAGAGAAAAACTGAACGAATAATCTAACGAATTTTTTTTTAGATGTCATAAAAAAATTTCTAGAGAAAAACTGTTTCGATGCTAAAAAACGCCAATCCGAGCAAAATACTTTTGGGGTAATTGCAGAAATACCATTTTTGATGTGTACATTTGCAAAAATGCTATTTAGGAATTTCTATTTGTAAAAATGACACTAATTATGTATTTTTAAAGCCTAAATCTTAAAATTATAAATCTTAGAAAATATTTTGACTTTTAAAACCCCTTAAACATTTAAAACTAAACAC